TATACCAGGCCGTAATATCGGCGTACCTCCGGTAATACTGAATTATCGCACCCTGCTTTTGAAAGCATATATTACGTTGTTGTCGTGCCATTGAAAAGAGTGAGTAAATTATTACTTTCACATGTGTTTTAAGCTGTAGTAATACCAGCAACAAAATTGCTGCAACTTGCAACAAAATCTGATTTCTACGCATGTTAATTGAAAATGTTTATACATATACATTACAAGTCACGAGGCAACAAGTGTCAACATTTCTACTTAACATGCGTTGAAATCAGATTAATTTTGTTGCAAGTTGCAGCAATTTTGTTGCCCGTATTACTCCACTTTAATGCATGCAAGTATAACATCATGTATATTATTAATAAGTCATTACTAACAACGCGTAAGTTGCTACAGATCTGTTGTAACAAGGTTTTTGTCAGGCCGTCGTCAGGATCTGTTCACACTACTTGTTCCCAGTTATTCTGACAAGTCTGGAACAAGTTGTTATCACCTTGTGACAAGGTTGATGACAGTAATGCAGATTTGCTACAACAGCTGCGAGTCTGTTGGCCTCATCAACCGAGTGTCCCTAAACTCCCTATATGTCGTGTGTCGTGGGTTAAAAGTCGTGTGTCGTGGGTAAAGTCGTGGGTAAAGTCGTGGGTCATAAAATGTGCTAAAAACGCATTTTTTCATATTTTTATTTTTAATATTTTTTTCGTACTTTTTCCTTTTATGCGCTAGATAAATACAGGAAAATTTAACGCAACAAATCTCCAGTAATAAAACAATTTCTTATCTTGCTGTTGTCTATAGTATAACAAGTAAATGTTTCCGTTTCGTATAGTCTTATAATAAGTCTATAAATGTATTGTTTGATGATAAAATGTCCTAAGTTATAGGATATTAGGATATAGGTTTATTAGCTTTGGAAGTGTTATAGTCCCTATCATGAACGCCGCGAATAACTTTGTCGATTGCATATGTCTGATGCAAACATATTGAGCTATAAATTCTACGTGGCCAACGCTCGAGCCTCACTGAATTTTGCTATTTTATCTCCTAGACCTAGTATATGTTCGTGGCCCTTAAAAGTAGACAACATTTCATGTGTATGTGGCGTTCGGAAATATTCCATAAATTGCTACGATTTGGGATTTCGCGATTGAAAACCGAAATGATTTGTGCGATGTCGCCATGTCGGGCTATTTGCCAACCGAGCGCGCTAGCCGCTGTTATTTTGACAGAATATGATACCTCTACACTTTTCAGCCGTAATACATAATGCACGCATTGTAATCATATACATATCGTTTAATTTAGCTTCAAAAACTTAAATGTAAAATGCGCAGCATGTTGCGTACATTAATATCAAAGAAAAAAGGTTGACTTCATTAGACTGAAATAAGCAAGATTTCCCGTTACATACATGATTTATACCCAGGCGGCTTTGCATGTGCTCTGCCTCTGGCAACTATGACACGGCATTGCGCTCCGCGGGAACCAACACGAATAACATGTTTTTTATCAAGTTTTTGAAGCTAAATTAAACGATATGTATATGATTACAATGCGCGCTGAAAATTACGGCTGAAACGTGTAGAGGTATCATATTCTGTCGAAATAACAGCGGCTAGCGCGCTCTGTTGGCAATTAGCCCGACATCGCATATTTCATTTCGGTTTTTAATCGGGAAATCCCAAATCGTAGCAATTTATGGAATATTTCCCGACGCCACATACACATGAAATGTTTGTCTACCTTTAAGGGCCACGAACATGTACTAGGTCTAAGGAGATAAAAAAAGCAAAATTTGAGGCTCGAGGCCTCGAGCGTTAGCCACTAATTATACAGGCACTGCAGCGTAAAATTTATAGCTCAATATGTTTGTATCAGACATATGCAATCGACATAGTTATTCGCGACGTTCATGATAGGGACTATAACACTTCCAAAGCTAACTGATAAACCTATATCCTATATAACTTAAGACATTTTATCATCAAACAATACATTTATACTCTATAGGCTATTAGACTATACGAAACGGAAACAAAATCAAACATTTACTTGTTATACTATAGATAACAGCAAGATAAGAAATTATTTTATTACTGGAGATTTGTTGCGTTAAATTTTCCTGTATTTATCTAATGGAAAAAATGGAAAAAGTACGAAAAAAATATTAAAAATAAAAATAATATCTTCGTGAAAAAATGCGTTTTTAGCACATTTTATGACCCACGACTTTACCCACGACTTTACCCACGACACACGACTTTTAACCCACGACACACGACATATAGGGACACTCTCATCAACCTTGTTTATACAAGATGATAACAACTTGTTCCAGACTCGTTAACAACTGGCAACAAGCAGTGTGAACACAAGATGTTGACAAGCTGTGAGATCTTAATTTACACGTGTAGTATGGTTTTGATTGCAATTTGTAGAAAAATATGCACGAGAGAATTTTGTAAATGCGATCAAAATCGCACGAAAATCGTACATACAGATACAGTATTTTAATTAAGGTTGTCCACGAGCAAAGCGGAAAAGTCAAATACCAGCGCGAAAGCACAGAATAGATTTCTATTTTGTGGCGAAAGGTTGCTGGAAATCCCTAAAAAGTTAATGAATTTTCATAGCGATTCCTAGCAGCCTTTCGCGCTCGTATTCGACTTTTCCGCTTTGCTCGTGGACAACCTTAATTGAAATAGCTGTACACACTGTATACGTAAATGAATATCACGCAACTCGCAAGAATATGTTTATAATATCTTTTAACTTTTTTTTAGAAATTCATGCAAAATTTTTTGAAACCTCCAGTCTAACTGGTGAAAATGTTGGTAGGTTTTGAAGTCAATTTTCGGATTTAAACGTACTGCATGCGAATTACCCTTGTAATCACCCTATACTACAGTAACTGTTCTAGTGTTCTGTAAAAAATAGGAATTTTTTTCTTGCAGGCAAACTATTTCATGAAGTTGGAAAGACATGCTTAGAAAAGCTTGTTGTGAAAGCCCCCAAAGGCAAAGGTTCAGACTCATATAATTATGTAGTTAGACCTATTTCAAATTCATTGTGCATGTCACGCGAATACAAGGATTATAGTAAAGTTTTACCGTGGGCAACCCAGCAAATATATGTATTCACTTAACAACGCTTAAAAATGCGCATAAAGTTCGTCTGCCTTTGCTATCAAATGCAGATTCGGATGTTTACGTCATTGTGTTTTCATATAGTATACCATAGACAATCCAGAAGACAGAAGTTTTATATTCGTTTTCGATTTTCGCGATGTAGGTATAATCCTGTAACAAAAATGGCTACTTATATTCAATGACAATGCATGGACCTTTGGCTGCAGCCATCAAGGTCAAAACATCTTTGCAGTGTTCCTATGTCCTGCAATGTCACAACGTCAGATATGTGGAAAGGTCTAAAAGTATATAGATTGCAGTCCTCTCCTCCTTTTTTGTAATGTTCATTCTCTATTATTTTTAGAGATTCTATCACTAACATTAGAGGAGCCGATAAAACAAAGACAAAAGCGTTGTTAATGATTTAGGATGACCAAATTCAGTTTGTCACCTCCAATTCGGAGTTGAAACTAAATAGTAATTACAATAATTGTGATATATTAACACATTCAGGAGCAAAGCTAAACACAAGTATACACAAGAGTAAAAGTTGATTTTTAAAAGTTAAGTAGTATTTAAATTTTTATAGCAGAAGGAACGAATCCTGTTAAATATACGAATTATTATTTACGGCTATATGATTCACGTTAAAGACTACTCTAATATCATGTATTTACATCGTAGTTAAAATGAAGATTGAATTTATCAATAGCGAATACAAGTGCACTGCCCTTAAAGCATTCAGTTCTGCAGAAAAAATGACATATTTTAATGACTAATGTTATCTGAATAGTGATTGTTTTACGCGCGTTTCCTTTTTTTATAGTAATATCTGAAAGTTTCTTTGGGAGGAGGCTTATGCAGCATTCGTTTTTAATCAATTCAATATTTTTACATATATTACTCTTGTCGGTTAATCCACAATGCTTGGACTCCCTATTCATGCAAGTAAATAATTTATTATCGCACAATAATGCAGAGCTGCCAAGTCTCACGGTCTACCCGTGAGTCTCCAGGTTTTCGCGTTGACCTCCAGGTCTCACGGTGGGTCTTGGAAATCTCACAGACC